TATTGTGTCATACAGAAATTCATGCGGAAGAGGAAGTTCTCCCTGTTTGCTGCATTCTACTCAGCCACTCTTCTTCAGGATGTGGATGATGCAGTTCAGTTTGAAGTCAGTATTGGCAACTATGGCAACAAGTTTGACAACACCTGTCTGCCTTTGGCCTCCACCACTCAGTTCAGCAGGGCCGTGTTTGATGGTGAGAAACCACATAATGATTTATACCTGAATATGTTCAGATTTTGGTTAATATTTTACATGCATTTTTTAATGCCATGTAAAACATCTAAACTTTGATTTCACTTTGAAGTGGATTTTTGTGGCACTTGTTCTTCTTTTAACAGAAACAAAGGTTATCAGTAAAAATTTATAATATTGTTTTACCAAATATTCTTTAAGATACATTTTTTAATCCATAAATATTATTATCTTATTAACTTTGTACTTTTGATGGGTAAATATATACTACTTTTCAAAGGTTTAGAGTCAGTAAGGTTTTTTTTTTAAAGAAATTTTAGGAAACAGCTTATTCACCTAAAATGCATTAAATTTTATAATGTTCAAAACTGGTGTAATGTTACACAGGATTTGTATTTCAAATAAATGCAGTTCTTTAGAGATTTCTATTCATTAAAGTATCATGAATCATGAAACTTGTATCACCGTTACTACAAAAATATTGAGCAGCAAATCTAGTTTCAACATTGATAATAATGAACCAAATCAATATATTAGAATGATTTCTGAAGGATCATGTGACCCTGAAGTCTGGAGTAAGACAGGCTTACAATCATAGGAAGAAATTACAAATAGAACACGTTTATTTTAAATTGTAATTATATTTTACTGTTTTTACTGTATATTTAATAAAATATCAGAGAGGACCTTTCAATGGTATTGCATATCTATACAAGTAAATGGAAAAATGCAGAGCCCTATGTGATTTTGTGAAAAAAGAGTTTTAAGTATAAAAAAAAAAAATTGTAAGACTGAAGCTTTATATTACACAAAATGCCCAATAATTTTTAATTTTAGATTGTTATTTGGATCTCAACACCTGTAAGCCAATGAGTCACATTCACTCAAGCATCTGACATGACTTCCACTGTTTTACATTTTACTGTTATTTAGGCTGCCATTACTATTACCTGCCATGGGGAAATGTGGAACCTGTGGTGGTCTTGTCTTCAGAGTGGGAAGATGTCGGCCCTCGCATAGAGGCCCTAAACATGCTGCTCAGCATAGTCGACCGATTGGTGAGAAACAGAAGCATCTAAGATACGGCTCCAATCAACACATCAAAATATATCAAAACACAATCAGTCATAACTGTAAACAAATATTGGTTTTCACTGTTCATAATAGGAATCAAACCTGGAGCAGGTACAGCTGACGCTCAAAGCAAGCAGTGACGAACAGGAAGTGGAGCAGAAGGTCATCCAGCTGCTTGATGATGTCATTGCCGACTGCAGGTGCAGATGTGCTCTAGTGTTTTGTGAAGTTGTATCGCATTCACAACAAACTAAAGCACACTTGTGTGTGTATGTGCTGTAGTGAGGAGCTCCCCGAGTTGGATAAATGGCCCTGTGTGACTGCGCTGGATAAAGCCCTGAGGAATCTGCGTAAGATTAACATGCAGCAGATAGTGCAGGCGGCACTGGCGCTCAAACACGGACCAGAGACCGAGCTGAGTGCAGTGCTGGAGCAAGCGGAGGACTGGACCCAGAGACTACGCCACCTATCTGAGGAGGTGAAAGAGATGTGGCCTTAATATCTGAAGTGCTGTTTCCACCTGGTATAGAGATGCGTTTTCATTTATCAAATCACAAGTGGTCAGCCAAAATGGATTTACACCTGGTGTTTAAAGGGATAGTTCACCAAAAAAAGAAAATTCTGTCATTTGCTCACTTTCAAGTTTTTCCAAACCTGTATGAATTTCTTCTGTTGAACACAGAACAAGATATTTTGAAGAATGTAAACAAACAGTTGACGGTAACCTTTGACCTCCATAGTTTTTTGTTCATACTATGGAAGTCAATGGCTACCATCAACTGTTACATTTACATTTACATTTAGTCATTTAGCAGATGCTTTTATCC